TATGTGGCTGGAGAAAACTGCTTTCTTGGGACTTGGAGTCAGTCATGCATCAGTTTGTGCTTGAAGGCATTCCTCAGTGAACTTCTTCCCTACAGTCTTCAGAGTAAAGCACAGGATGTGGGCTCCCAGGAGGGGCTGCTTTCAGCTGGAACACCGACCAGCAGGACGTCTTTGCAGGCATTCTGCATGCAGCTGCCTGAGAGACCTTGATCCTTCCACACCCTCCTCCAGCTTGAGCTGCTCCAGCCAGGCACTGCAGGGCACTCATGCTGGCCCAGAAGACATGGCAACTGGTAGCTTAACCCTTTAGCTGCAGTCTTGGTCACTGCTCATTGCAGCTCTGCTTCAAGGTACACTTAACTGTTTCTCACAGTTCCACATTATCTATTCATTCAGTTGGTTGGTAGACATCTAGGCTTATTCTATTTCTTAGCTATTGTGAATAGTGCAACAGTAAACATGGGTATTCAAGTACCTCTATGGTACTTTGAGTTAGTCCTTTAGATATGTACCTAGGAGTGACATGGTTGGACCACATGGCACTTCTATTTTTAGGTAAAAATCTTCCATATTGCTTTCCACACATTCCCATCAGCAGGCTTGGTTCCTCTGCTCATCCCTGGACAAAATTTTGTTGTCTTTTATTTTCTCCATGTTTGTCACTCTGGCTGGGGGAGATAGAATCTCAAAGAAGTTCTAATTTGCATTTACCTGATGGCTAGGGATATTGAATTCTGAAATTTTTGAAGTATTTATTGGCCATCTGTGTTTCTTCTTTTGAAAACTATTTGTTTCAATAGTCCATTTTTAAGTTAGAAGTTTTAGGGGTTATTTAATGTTTGCAGTTCTTTACATATTCTAGATATGAATGCCCTGCTTGCTATATAGTTGGCGAAGATTTTCTTTACTAATCCATAAGCAGTCTCTTCACTTGATTGTTTTCTTTGCTTTTTAATTTTTTGCACTCCCAGTTGCCATTCGTGGGTGATTTCTTGTGCTTCTGCAGTCCTTTTCAGAGAGTACTATGGGTAGATCCTGAAATGTTTCTTCTGTTTTCTTTTAACAGTTACAAGGTTTCAGTTCTTATAGTAAGGACTTTAACACATTTGAATTAATTTTCAGGGTGAAATATGAATCCTATTAATTCTTTGACATGTGGCTATCCAGTTTTCCTAGCACCATTTGTTGAAGAGGCTTTTTTGGCAAGATTTTGGCAACTTTGTAAAAAAAAAAATAGGTGGCTGTGGTGGTGTGGGTTTACTTCTGGGTCCTCTGTTCTTCACCATTGATCTATAAGCCTGTGTTCTTGCCATTACCAGGCTCCTTTTGTTATTATGGCTCACTGATTCAGCTATGCTGCCAGACCAGTGAGTGCTACAGATCCACCTGTCTCCACCCCTCCAGCACACGGATTACAATCACAGGCCACAATTGTGTGAATGCTGGGGACCTGAACCCGTCTTCATGCCATGAGGCAAGAATGTACTTTACTAGGCCATCTCTCCAGCATCCTCTTGTAGCATTTAGTAGACTTTTCTTCATCTGTATATTTAATGTTTTAGCTATAATATGATGTAGAGAATTTATTTTCTGGTATGATCTATTTGGTGTTCTAAATGCCTTTTTTAAAATCAGGGTGGACATCTCTTTTTCCCAGATTTGGGAAATTTTCTGCTCTGACTCCATTTGTACAATTTTATTAATTTATACTTATTAATTTATGTGATTAATTGGAATGCTTTTGACTGAGCATTCCAATTCCTGTATCTTGTCTTCAAGCCCCAATATTCTGTTCTCCCTATGATCCTGGTGAGGGTTTCCACTGAACTTTTTACTTGACTTGTTGAAATTTTCATTTCCAGCACCTCAGTTTAGTTTTTCTTCAGTATTTCTCTCTATATAGAATTCCATTTTCATATCCTGTATTAACTTATCTTATTCAACTGTTTCTTTGTTCCAGATAATGGTCTTTATACCAAGAAACCCCAGTATCTTCAGTTTCCTTTAATCAGGAACAGTCCTTGGTCTTTTATGACACTGACTTTTTTGAGATGTACAGACTTGTGGTCACTGCCAGCAGCAGCCGCTCCTCCATTCTCGTGGGTGCTGCTCCTTTGTTCTCACGGGCATCGAGGCTGCTCCTCCACTCACCCTGGACTGAGGCCGCTCTTCTGCTTGCCCTGTGCTGCCTCCTGTCATCACCGCTTCTACCCGGACCTGGACCCCAGGGCTAGAGAGGAGACTGTCAGCAGAGCCACATTCAGACACAAGAGACCAAGTTCAGTGACACAAGTCTGCTTTATTGCAGGAAGGCACAAGCTTATATAGGGGTGGTGGTCCCATGACAGCACAGCAAGTAGGATACCTTATTAGCATTAGGTTTAGTGTCCTATAACAGTACAGCAAGTAGGATACCTTATTAGCATAACAGACTTAGCATCCTATTAGTATAAAAGACTTAACGTCCTATCACAGTATGGAGGGTAGGATGCCTTATTAGCATACTGTGTTTCAGATTACAGAACCTGGATTCCTGGAAACCATGTGACCCTGGGGTGCAATATCACCCTAGGCTCAAGCCTGTCTCCCACACAGACTAGATAGTTTTATCTTTCAAATTCAGCCTGATGTTTCATTATGATCAAATATAGTTATAATTTTTGGTAGGTGAATCACAAGAACATTGAGTTCTTTTCAGTGTCACAGTGTATCAGCAGACACTGAATGCCAATTTGTGTTAACTTTGATTACTTGGTGAAAGTAGAATACATTAAGTTTCTTCACTGCTTTTCTCTTTATTAATAAGTATTTAGTGAGGGGATACTTTGAAACTATCATGTTTTTCTTCATTTCTTGTACCAGTGTTAACAAACCCATTCAATTAGCCAGTAACTGTCTTAAACTGGAATCTCCCTTCTCCCCATGCCTGGCAATCACAGATTCACCCAATAAATATATGGGTGGAATAGCAGTCTTAACAGAGTACTTGCTCTCTACAGAGGATGTAGAGCCCTTCTGCTTTAAAGCACACCTACCTGTCCCTGGATTGGATTCTAAAAGCCCTGCATAGGAAGAACAGCCTGCTCTGTTTGGAGAGACTGTGCCTTCTCAGTATAGCTCTTCCTAGGCTGTATAATCGATCTTTAGTCTTTTTCCTTCAAATATTTAATGATGTCTTATCAACCACTGGCAAATCAAACCTCAAAACTAAAAGGATTATTCTGGTCACTGTAAGCAACCTATCACAGAAATGCAATAGTGGAGGTAGAGACAATTAAATAAAGCTGTTGAACTTTTAAAAAGAGATGGCGATACTGCGATGTTGTGCAGGCCAGTCTGCAACTCCTGGAATTGAGCACTACTTCTGCCTTAGTATTGGTAACTAAATAGCTGGCATTAAAGGCATGTGCTACAATGTTTGGCTTTAGGATGTTGAAAATCTTATTTGGAAGCCAACCACTTCTGAAATTATGAAAACAGATAAATTTGCATGCGTAACTATATGGAAAAGTAAGTATAGTCATTGAGAACAGCGAGTAAAGAACAGAAAGATACTTTGTAGAAAACAAAATGTAAGCGGTCCTGAATAATTTGAAAGAAATTCAGCCTTCTTCAACCTAAGAGACATACAAACTGAGACTCTGAGAGCCATTTCTCACTATTTTTTTTCAAAAACCTAAAAGCCTGGAATATGATTGGTGTGGGAACCAGGCTCCTACCCATGTTGCTGACAGATGTGCAAATAGGAATAGTTTTTAGTATGAGAGATTTGGTACTATCTAATATTAAAAATGTACCTGTCTGACCTAGCGATTGTGTTCTTAGGAATTTATCCTGTAGGCAGAGTCAACAAATGTTAAATGATCACCCAGGTCATTCCCTGCCATACAATGGCTGCAGAGTGGCAGAGTAAGAACGAGCAGCGGTGAGACTGCTGTGCTGACAAAGCCGGAGCTGTCAGGAATGGCTGATACAAAGTGGAGATACGTATAAACAGATCCCATACCTATTTCTTTCTTTTACTATCCTTTCTCTCCTTCACCACTCCCTATATTTGGGTCTCTTTTGAGGGCCCAAAGTAGAAATCTGGAGCCACTCAAGTCCTATTTCAGACCTTATATGTTATTAAACTCGCCTCATCTTGCTCCTACGTAATCATGGCCGTTTCCTTTGGGCCCTATCTATTCTCCAGGATCAGCCTTTGTAACCTCTCGTCATCTTCACTTCTAAAGTATCTGGCTAATTCTTATAGCAATTTTGCATCTCGCCTTGCTACCCTCAAACTTCTACTGGCAAAGTCTAGGGATACTTAGAAAAAGGGGGTGGGGGAGGCTGTACTGCCAAACTGAATTTCTCAAAACAAATCTAGCCGCCATGATACTTTGCTGAACATCTTTGCACAGCCAAGGTTTCCTCTCAACTTCCTTCTTACTCCCAGGTCACTAAAAAAGTATAATTATAAACGTAGAAAACGCCAACCAGGCATTCGTGTGGAATTCAATGCTTATTCCAGCCGCAGTCATCCAACCACCCACCATCCAATGCCTATTCTATTTCTTCCTTCTTTCCATCTATCCATCCATCCATCCATGCCCTCCCTCCCTCCCTCTCTCCATCCACACTATTAGTTTCTATGTCTCGACCCCGAACTCGTCTAAGTCAGGGTTTGTTGTCTCCCCGCCTTGCATATCAGAAGTTGTTCCATCAGGTCTGGGAGTATGACGAGCTCGCGAAGCGGAGGGCTGTGACAAGTGCAGCACGTTTTGGGGTCTCCAGCTGCGCAGGTCGATCCACCCACAGGGAGTCCAGCATTCGCCCATCGTGGGAAACAGTGACGAACCAACAGTTTATCCCAACAGCACAGAAGAAGCTGCCCACCGGCCCCACCCCATGTGACCAGTCGCTCACGTGAGCACGACCCAGCCTGACCTACAGGGTGCCACGTGAGCGCGTCCGCAGTCACGTGAGCGCCATCGCCGCTGCCCCAGCTTCCTGCTCCCGCGGAGCCGTAGCGGATGGCGGAGGAGGATGAGGAGGCGCGGGCGCTGCTGGCGGGCGGCCCCGAGGCGGGCAGCGGAGTCCCGGGCGGCGCGCGTGCGCTCCCGGCCCTCTGCGACCCCAGCCGCCTGGCGCACCGTCTGCTGGTGCTGCTGCTGATGTGCCTGCTGGGCTTCGGTGAGCCGGAAGGGCTGGGCGGAGGTTGCAGGGCTCGGGGATCGGGTCCGGTCGCCGCTTTTGCTGCTTACCTCGAGCGAGGGGCTCGGCGACGGATCTGGGGACCGTGTCCCCAAGTCCCCGAGGGCAGCGGCTCGCCCCCGCGGACACGGAAGGGTCTTTCCGGCCCCTCTCGGAGCACGGTGCTCAGAACTGAGTCCTTTCCTTGCAGATCCCCAGGAGAACCCTTCTCTCTCCCGATTTCCATGCGTTCCTCATCCTCCTCATCCTTTTTTGGGACGGTGTGCATCTTGCAGACAGCTTTGGCGGTTTGGCGGTGGTTGATTTCACCTAACGAAATCTGATCACAGTAAAAGCAGTTTCTTGAGCTACTTTAAGAAACACCTTTCCTTCCTGTGTTACAGTGTTCATTTTACCCGGCAGCTGTTCCGATTGGTTTAAGTTAGCTTGGCTCTAAAGAGTGTGTTTTCAGGAATCAGGTTCAGAAATGCCACGGTTTAGGAACTTTGTGCTTCTACTCGAATGTATATAGACAGTCATAAAAACACTTGGGGTTTGGTTTCTTTGCCACACCTTTTGCACACCGCTTGTCTCTCAGTTTTTGGAACTTGATGCCCATCCTTTCCCTTTAAAACACCGTACTGAGTCCCTTGTAAGCAATTAAAGCAGGAGCCAGAAGTTCCTGTGTTTAGAAACAATGACCAAGAAACAATGACAAAGTCGTTTAAGAAATTGTCCCTACTCAAACTGACAGCTTATTTTTGGTAGAGATGGTTATCTGCTGGGGATTCAGAGACTTACCTTCCTAGACCCCCCTCCCCCCTTAACTGGTAGCTTTATAAATTTGTAGCGTTAGTGCAGAGACAGTGTTATCTTGTGATTTGCATCAGCCTGCCAATTACCTTTAAGATAAATCCTCGTGCATGAATAACGTCTTTCCTTACTGCCTGTTTCTAATTCTCCAAGAGACATTGTTAGATTTTAATTTGATTCTTTCTGGCACCATTTTCACTAAATCATTTGATGGTAGGTATTTTGTTTGCAGATTTAGAATTTGTTCAAATACTGGTTTGGTCAGAATAGCCGAACTTCACTCTGCTTTCAAGAAGAGTGACTACAGCTGATGTCATGGACTGCATGGGAGTTTGTAGAGTTTTGATTTTGATGGCTTTATGTAAGCAAAATACAACTATTTCATGAAGATGTTAAAATAATAAACTCGGGAAACATGAGGAAAACAAAATGATTAAAAACAGTTGATTGTCAATTTCTCAATTCAAGTTTTCTGGTATTTGCTGTGTGTGTACACTGCTGGATTGTGGAAGTTCTTTGCTTACAACTAAGAAAACACTGGTGAATAAGGAAGTGGGTTAAGAGATGTTTCTATAGTGTCAGCTGGAGCCTGAACCTCAAAATCACCTTGGAGTAGTAGTAAGTTGTAACTTGAAACTTGTTAAGACATTATCCTTCTTGGTAAACATTTGCTTTTTCCTCTTCTAGGCAGCTATTTTTGCTATGATATTCCTGCAGCCCTTCAGACCCACGTTAAACGCGTGAGTTAATTTTCCACATTTGTGTCTCTACATCGAAGCAATTAACCATTACTGAGACATTGTCAGCTCTCAGGGTGCCCAGCCTGAAATGCCCATTAAATCAGTCACCAAACGCACAAGCCAGAGATTTCTTAAGTTCAAATGACTTACCCTAAAGAACTCATAGCACATATGCCATGAAATTGTTTCATTCCTTAGGTAGAGAGTTACGTACCCTTACCACAGTGTTGCTAAAGAAACTGGTTTTTGTTTGGTCTTTCCTCACCCATTGTTTACTGATCCAAATGATTTGTTAAATGGCTTTTCGCCCTTTTAGGTAAGTTTTGTTGTCATTTGTTTTATAAATGTAGACATTGATTGTGGAGGGTTGTCCATTACCCATATTTTCAGTCTTGAATTGTAAAAATATACTTGATATTTGTAATTCTTGGGCATTTAGATCCTATTTTTTTCCTCCTTTTTTTTTTTTTTTTTAAACCACTGAGCCCAGATTGTCTTTTTCATTCCAGAAGGAGGCAGAGAAGATAATGTTATGTAAAGAGAGGTGAAGATGATTCTTTTCTGTGTGGGAGGAGTCCTCAATGCCAGCAGAATTGAAATGAGAATGTAGGAGATAGTGATAGACTGAGTTTGTCCCCACACCAGTGGCTGGGCCTGGAATCCAAGAGGCCGCTGACAAACTATGTGGAATCTAGGAGTTCCCAGTGTGACCATTTTTGTAGCGTAGGAGCTGTAGCTTTCATGAGATTCTCAAGGAAGTAAAAGATGTACAAATGGTGAAAAAACTTTCCCTATACAGAAATACAAATGTAACCACTGTCTGTTTTCATCTGTTAATTGCTAAGCCTGTTTGGAAAAACAGTTTTATTTTCTTCCCATATAGGATATGCAGGTGAATACCACGAAATTCATGTTGCTGTATGCCTGGTATTCTTGGCCCAATGTAGTTTTGTGTTTCTTTGGTGGTTTTTTGATAGACCGAGTATTTGGAATACGGTAAGTTTGTTTAAAAAAAAAAAAACAACTCATCTGTGGGCAAATGTAATCTTGTTATTAGAAAAATGTAAGGATGGATTAGAGTATTTCTGCAAAGAACTGAATGTAGACTTGCCTTAAGTGTGATAGTGAATGTGAGGCCTTTTTTCTTAAGATTTTCATGTATCTAGACTTGGTCCTTGAAGCTTGGTTGGTTCATCAGTTGGACCAGGCCTTGTAAGTGCTGCTGATAGAGTAAGGTCCTCAGTTATCAGGAGGTTAAGTTTCCTCTTACTTGGGATCAGACAAAGCAGGTCTGAGTTGCTTCTACTTGGTCAGATTCCTACTGCACTGACCCCTTTGGAACTTCCTGAGCTTCTGTTTCCTCATTGTTAAAATCTGAAGGAGGATATGGAGGATATTACCTCCTTACCAGATAGTTATGAGGATTAAACGAGAGATGACCATCTTTGGTGTGTAGGTAGTAGATATTTTCTTAGCCCTGGTGTGATTTTTTAAAAAAATATTTTGTTTATTATTTTTATTTTATGTGTATGGTGTACTGCCTGCATGTAGATAAGTGCATCCGTGTCATGCAATGCCTGTGGAGGACAGAAGAGGCCGTCGGATCCCCTGGAACTGGAGTTACGGACAGTTGTTAACTGTCATGTGGGTGCTGGGATTCGAACCCGGGTCTTCTGCAAGAACAACCAGTGTTTTTAACCGCTGAGCCATCTCTCCAGCCCACCCCCCCCCTTTTTTTTTAATTTCTGCCTTACTTTAGCCACTGAGCTTTCTGAAAGGCTCTGCATATTAGATGCTGAGGAAGAATACTATAAGCTTTGTCACTTTACATCTTTGATCAGACGTATTTGAGTGAAGACTTGAGAGGTCAACTGGAAGTTTTTTCAGAAGGCAGAATTATGAAGCTGCTGAAGCAGATTCAATCATGTCTGATATAGATAAGGGTTGAAAAACTGAGTGTTTAGATTTGGGAGTTAACTTTAAGAATCTTGAACAGAGTATGAAGGAAGAGTTAAATGTGTTTTACTGGGTCTCAAGGAATAGAATTAACTTGAATTTTCAGGGAAACAGATTCCACCTAGTCTGAGCACAAACTTGCTTGTTCGGATTGTTGGGCTCATATAAATTGTCTGTGGGCCATTGCGAGTTTTCCAGTTAGAGAACATTCAGAGATGGTGTGGCTATTTTACAAGGCTCTTGAGAGGATCTAGGTTTCAGAAAGATACTTTACTCAATTGACCTTTAAAGACTCTTCTCATGCTGCCTTTTAATTAGTCTGGCAGAACAGGAATAGGTACTTGCACTATAGAATGATGGACCTGTAATTGTATTATCCTGGTTAATGTTTGTCCTCTGAAAGTAGTTTTAGTTATCAAAAATTGTAACCACTTAAATTATTTACTGTAGGATTTTCCTGGAATCAGTTCTAAACTCCGCATAAAAGTTTTGTAAAGAATTTCCATTTTTAAATGTTTTTGACAACTGGGAACTTTTTGAAGATTATTTAGATTTTAAGAGGTGATGATGACATAACAAGTACTTACCTTCCTTTGGAGGAAAGACACAGTGAGCAAAGAAAACTAAAATGAATTACGACTACAGGACTCTGAGTACTAATACTAACAAAAAAAATGACCGTTTCTCTCTTTCTTTCTTACAGATGGGGTACAATTATTTTTAGCTGCTTTGTTTGCATCGGACAGGTAAGAGTGGCTAAAACATTTATTATTTGGCAGTGACTTTTGAATCTTACCTAATTAATTCCACTAGCAAAGAGATGTTTAATGAATGACCAGCTTAATCAGGCCCATGAATGCCCATGTGATCAGAACTATTTAACACAAAAATACGTTTTTTTAAATTTGGTCTTTTTTGAAACAGGGTCCCCCTGTAGCCTCCTCAGCTGTCTTGGAACTTGCTGTGTAGACCAGGTTAGCCTCGAACTCACAGAGATCTGCCTGCCTCTGCCTCCCGAATGCTGGGATTTAAGGCGTGCGCCACCATGCCCTGCTAGCCTTGAATTTTTAGTTACTTGCCTCTTCGCTGCAGTAAAATACCCGATGAAAGCCACTGAAGGGAGGAAGGGTTTATTTTGGTTCCCAGTTTGAGGGTGTGATCCATCTCAGCAGGAAAGGCCACAGCAGCAGCGGTTACACTGTGTCCATGATCAGGAACCAAAAAGTGACGGGTGTAGTGTGGGACCCCAGCCCATGGAATGGAGCCAACTGCATTCAGGGTGGGTCTTCCTACCTCAATGAATCCAATTTGGACAGTTTCTCACAGGCATGCCTAGAGGCTTGTCTTCTAGATGATTCTAGATCCTGTCAAATTGGCAATGTTTACCATCACATGCATGACCATTACTGTTTTGATTTCTCAGATTTGTTAATGAAGGTAAGTAAAATTATTGTGGGAGTTAAGATTTATCATGTTAATTATTTCATTGACTATCTTGACTTTATTTTTCTGTTCAATATTTTGTATTACAGGTTATTTTTGCTCTGGGTGGAATATTTAATGCTTTTTGGCTAATGGAACTTGGGAGGTTTGTGTTTGGGTAAGCTATGCATAATTTCATGTTACCTAGACATGTTTATTAGCGATTTTTTTTCTTGTTTTTTTTTTTTGATGCTGAAGATTGAAGCCATGACCTCTCTTGTTTGCCAATTACTTAAGTCACCATTGACTCATGCCACTAGTTCTTAATTATTAAGGATTTAAAAGAAATATATCATTGTCTTTTGGGGGGAACTGCTCCAAAACATTGAAATATGTATGTAAGACTTTCTTAGTTCTAACCTTTATTTGAAATAAACAGTTCTGAATGTAGGGTTTGACTGTTACAAGCTTCTTCAGAAACCGTGTTTTCCCTAGGCTTTTCTGCTTGTGTTTGATTTAAACCTCATTCACAAAAGTATAGACCCTGAAATTCATTTGGTGGCTGTATTAGGTACTTTTCTGTTGCTGTGATAAAATACCATGGCCAAGATACCTTGCAGAAGGAAGAGTTTATTTGGGCTTGATTCTGGAGGGATAAGAATTCATCATGGCAGAAATACATGGCAGCAAGCGGCAGGTGTGGTGTGGCAGAGCGAGTGAACTGCCAGTAGAATGAGGCTGTGGTCTCTCAAAGCCCACCCCAGTGACACAGTTCCTCCTCCATGGCTCCACCTCCTAAAGATTCCATGACCTCCCAAACAGCACTACCAGCTGGGAACCAAGTGTTCAAATACTTGAGCTTATGGGGACATTTCTCATTCAGAGCACCACAATGACTCATGGATATTTCACTCTTTCTTAGTGGGTGGCATTCAGGTCTTTCTGCTCCCTCTTAAGTGCCTTGACATGGCACCTATAGGCTGACCACTCCATGTACATTTCAATATCTGTTAAATAAACCTGTTCCAAGTCTAGCCTTGGACTTCCTACCCTGAGAGATACAGGTGACAGAACTAAGTCTTTAAAAACACAGCTTACTCAGGCTTTTCACAGGCACCAGGGGCTTGCGGATATATGTAGCATACCCCCAAGGGAAACAAAATGTATATAAGAGCACGAAAGAGATTTTGGGACAAAAATGTGATAAAAATGGCTACATGGGTGAAGTGGGCCTTATAGAAAAAAGTGTGGGGACTGTATTAGTGGAAGAGAAAAAAAGTTTTGGACTAGGACAGAGTGATGTGATAATAACATGGGCTTATTTTTACAATATGAATGAGGCAGAGCTTCTAAGCGGGCCTTAAGGGGTAGTGGTGAATATATGGACCTTAAGTGAAGGAAAATTAAAACCAGGAAGTAGAAGAATGTTGCGTATGCAAAATGAATTGGGAAACTGATTGATGGAGAGCTTTCTATTGACCTGAAAAGTATGAATTTTCATTTTTACAAAGTGTGACCCACTCTCCCCGATCAACATTGTACATAGGATGGCTAGATGGTGCAGTAATGCAAGCTGCTTTCCTGCCCATCATGATTACTAATGCACCATCCCAAATGACTCCAGAACATTACAGTATAGAATACTGCATTTAGTTTAGATTTTGAGGCAGGTAGAATGTATGGCTGGCTTGTCTGTGCCCTGATGTCTGGGACCTCAGCTGCAAAGATGGAAGGCTGGAGGGTGGAATCACCTGGAAGCTTGTTTGTTACCTTTCATGTTGCACGTCTGGACTGGGCTGCCTTGAAGAATAGAACTGCTGATCAGAGCACCACAAATGGCCTGTATGGCTTGCTTTCTCAGCATGGGCATGGTTACCCTTCCTACAGAGTGACTTAGGACGCCATGTGTGAGTGTTGGACTGGAAAGGCAGATATCATCTGTATTATTTTTTGTTGCTGTGATAAAATACCATGACCTGGGGCTGGAGAGATGGCTCAGTGATTAAGAACACTGATTGCTGTTACAGAAAACCTGGGTCTGATTCCCAGCAACCACCTGGAGGCTAACAGCTATCTGTAACTCCAGTTCCACAGGATCTGACCTCTATAGGCATTGTACCACATGGGTGAACTTACATACAGGCAATACATTCATACACATAATACAAAATAAAATTAAAATTAAACAAAACAAAAAAACCCATCATGACCAAAAGCAACTTACAGAAGAAAGAGCTTGTTTTCACTTACGGTTCCCGAGGGTCTGTAATGATGGGGGAGGCATGGCAGAGGCCACGGGAGAAGGAAGCTGAGAGATCACATTTCCTTTTTTTAAAAAAATGTTTATTTTTAATTTTTAATTATTTTTTTAGAAGCATTTCATTATAACATTATCATAAGCAGTAACAATTTCCAGAGCAAAGATGCATCTCTTTCAAAAGTGGCTATGGTATAAACCCTGTAAGACATAAAATTGAATGTTATTTTATGTGTATGTGCGTATTGCCTGCATGTAGGTAAGTGCACCCATGTCATGCAATGCCCGTGGAGGACAGAAGAGGCTGTCGGATCCCCTGGAACTGGAGATAAGGACAGTTGTTAGGTGCTGGAATTTGAACCCAGGTCTTCTGCAAGAACAGTGTTCTTAACTGCTGAGCCATCTCTTCAGCCCCTGAGAGATCAAATTTTCAACTGCAAACATTAAGCAGAGAGAGTGAATTGGAAGTAGGCCGAGACTATGAATGACATACTGCCTTTAGCAAGGCCCACCTTCTAAAACCTCCTCAGACAGTGCCACCAACTGGGGACCAGTTGTTTAAATATCTGAGTCTGTGGGGGACATTGCCCACTCAAAGCACTATGGTAATGGTAATCTTTGGGATGTGTGAGATTACATGCTTCACTTAACCATATTCTATTGGTTGAAGCAAACCTACCTTAATTCAAGAGGAGGAGAGAGCTCATCTCTTGATGGGAGCATTATCAAAATTACGAACTGGGGCTGGAGAGATGGCTCAGCAGTTAAGAACACTGGTTGTTCTTGCAGAAGACCCGGGTTTGAATCCCACCACCCACATGGCAGCTAACAACTGTCCATAACTCCAGTCCCAGGAAATATGACAGCCTTCTTTCTGACCTCCGCAGGCATTGCACGACACGGGTGCACTTACCTACACACAGGCAATACATGCATACCGATAAAATAAAAATAATAAATAAAATTTAAACAAAACAAAATTACTAACTGGAATTTCCTTAAAAGCTAAGACTTTATTCCTTATCCCATGTTTAGGATTGGTGGAGAGTCCTTAGCAGTTGCCCAGAATACATATGCTGTGAGTTGGTTTAAAGGCAAGGAGTTAAACCTGGTGTTTGGACTCCAACTCAGCATGGCCAGAATTGTAAGTGTGGTGGCAGACGTGTGGGGCCAAATGGGAAGCAAAAGATTGAGTCCTATAAAATCAGAATGAAATGTGCTGGTATACACTTGAGTATGAGGAGTTAGGCATCGATTTAAAGAGACATTTTTCAAAGATTTATTTGTACATATGTTTGTATCTGTGAGTGCGTACACAAGTGTATGTGTGTATGTGTGGATACGTGTGCCTTTGTGTAGAGGCAAGAGGAGGGCACTGGGTCTCCTCTTCTGTTACTTTCCACCTACTCCTTTGAGGCAGGGTATCTCCCTGAACCTAGGCTCACATTTTTTCAGGGTGAAAGCCAGCATGTCCCCGTAATCGTCCTGTCTCTGCCCCACTCAGAGCTATGGCTACAGGCATGCAGAGAATTCCTGGATTGTTACATGGGTGCTGGCATCTCATCTCAAGACAGCCACAAGCACTCTTAACCACTTGGTCATCTCCCCAGCCCTTCTGCCTTTTTAAGATTTATGTATTTGTATGTGAGTGTGTATATGTATCTCTGTGTGAGTGTACACATTGGGGCTCATGTTTTCTCAGGCTGGAGGTCAGCAAGGCTCAGTTATCCTCCTGTCTCTGCCTCTCTTAGAGCTGGGGTTACAGGCATGTATGGAACCCCTGCTTGCTGCATGGGTGTTGACATCTGAACTCCTGTCCTCATGACTGTGCATGACATGTCCTCATGACTGTGTTCTTAACTGCTGAGTCATGTCTCAAATCTGATTTTTATATTCTTTCTTAAGGAAATAGAATGGCATTTACTTTATCCTAAGTAAGGCATCAGTGGATAGCCAAAAATAGCAAAGTAAACATTGATTAGTTCTAAAAATGAGTTTAGATTGCCTGATTTCTCTCCCATTTTCTAACCCCAACCCTAAACCTATCACTAACCCTAACCCTAACCCTATCGCTGGCACAGTCTCTGCGGAAGGTCTGCGCACTTCCCTCGGGGCAGCTCACTCTCATGGGAAGCCCGTCTTCTTCAGTTAACTTGAAGCTCAACTTGACACATATGAAACCTTTCACAAGGAGCTTTTACCGACTTCTCCTACCTCATTTTCTGTATCAATTCTTACCTTCAGTGCCATGCAACAAAACATTGCCTGGTTCTTCATTCATGATTAGAAACATTTATTTCCAGTGATTGTCTAAGCCATCTAACCTGAGTTGCAGATCGCAGCGTAGTGCTCATATCCCTCTGGACTCAGTAAGCCAGTACTCATGGTATTTGGAACCTACAATTCATCATGATGTTTGTGTTTGGTCCTACAGCGGCTACCCTGGGGAACAGCATTATGTTTTGATTAATATGTCTTGCACAATGTTTAGGTAGGCCTAAACCCTCTTAAGGGTTTATTTTTTTGTTTTGTTTTTTTCATAAAGTCTGATACATAGACAAGCCCTCACCCACCAAAGCTCCTTGCCATTAAAAATCAAGTATTCAATGACTAATCAATAATACAAAATTAATATATTCTTAGAGGAGAAATTAAGTAGAAAATGTTAATGTATTTCATCTTGCGAGTATTTTTGTTTCTGTGCACATAAGGCCTTTAAATTTTTTCAGTATTGAAAGCAGTGCTGTGCTGACATTGGCTGACATTTGCTTGTTGGCTTCTCTGAGTGTTTCCTTAGGCTAGCTGTTTGGGAATGGGGTTACTGAATCAGGGGTCTTGTCAGGGTTTCTGAGGACTGGGGATATATTGTTTCCACGTTTTTCAGTTGAGATGTTTTTGTCTCCATCTGTCGGATAGGAGAGAATCCTGTTTATTGTAGCTTTGATTGTACGGTGCTAGTGCTTTTTTAAAAGGTGATTTTATCACACTGGTGTGAAACACCTAAAGGGTCTTGTTGTTGTTCTTTGAGCTAGTGTGGCTCCCCTGTCTGAGTTTTTCCTCTAGGATGCCTCTGAAAGCTTCCTTATGTGGAGTTGGTGGATCTGGTTGTATGAAAACTTCTCAAAGAAGGAACTGAGTGACACTGATTCTCAATGACTCTGTCGTGGTTACTATTTATCATCAGCTTTTCTATGTCAGTGTGACTTACTTAGACCACATTAAATTGCATTTTGAGTTGCTCTGAGTTTCTAGAAGGGACTCTCAGGGGCTTTTAGGATGCAGGGGGAAGAGTTACTGGGGAGTAGGGAAGACTGGAGGTAGACAAGCAAGATTCCAAGATTGAATATAGTCTGCCCTCAAGGTTGCAGAGGCAATCTTGCTCAGGGGCACGGCCAGAAGCCATCATGCTCACCTGTTTACTCTCTTGGGAGCTCATTGTGTCCTGGCTTCTCATTGGTGCCATGCTGGTCTCCTTCCTGTCCCCTGATCATACCTGGCTGCTCCCTCATGGCTCTGTGCCCAGTTTTGCTCTAGCCTGGGCTGCTCCGCTCCAGATTTCTTCAGGGGACTTTCCAAGTTCACTCCAAAGTCGTCCTCAGCGAGGCCTTCTGTCCAGTTTTATATTCTTTCTATATTTCTGTGTTCTAGATATCTACTTTAGTTTTAAGTTCTTTTCATTATTTAAATACTGCGTTGTTTTTGTTTCATTAAAATGAAAGTTTCATGAAAATTTTTTTTCCTGTCATTCTCTTTATTATGTTCCTGAAGTAATGACTGACACGTTACAAGAGTTCAGTAATTGGTGGGTGAATGACTGAATGGCTGAAGATATTATCTACTATAAACTTTATTTTCTACTTTTTTGGATCATTTTGAGAGAGGGTTTCCCTTTAACCCTAGCTGTCCTGTAGCTCTCTGTGTAGACCAGGGTGGCCTTGATCTCACAGAGATCTACCTGCCTCTGCCTTTTGATTTAAGGCATGTGCCACCATACCTAGCTGTGTCTCTGCTTTTTGAATAGTCAGGTGAAGAACTTTTAATTATTTTATTTTCATTTTATGTGTATGAGTGTTAAGCTTATATGTGTGGTATCTTAAGTGTATCCATGCATGCAGTGCTCAGAGAGGCCAGAGGAGGTTGTCAGATTCCCTGGAACTGGAGTTATGGATGGTCGTTAGCTGTCATGTGGGTGCTGGGAATTGAACCTGAGTCCTCCTCAAGAGCAGCCAGAGCTCTTAACCCCTGAGCCATCTCTCCAACCTCTAGGTATAGTAATCCTAACTATGGCTTTATCTTAGCCTGTTGGCTTTTATTGTCTTTATAGGTTGTTTTTATCTTTTTAGTTATCTCAACATAATCTGGATCCTAGTTATAATTTCACTAAGCCACCTTAAGTAATTTTTGTTTTCCAGACTGAACTGTGGTATATATCATTGAAAATTCTATTGTTATTATTATTATTTTTTCTTCCTCAGGGAAGTACAGTGAATATGAACCTCATGGGTTGGCTGTATTCTAAGATTGAAACTTCACTGGGTTCCAGTGGTCACATGACTCTGGGGGTGACACTTATGATCGGTAAGTGACTCTTCAGGCCCCATCTTGTCTCTTCTGAAGGTATTGTGTTGGAAGGAAGAGTGGGAAATGCTCCCAGGCCACATGGGTTATGATTTCGCCCCTGTAGTTTACTAGTTCTTTTGCCTGTTTAGAAATAGCTTGTTTTACTTTGATTTCTACTTCCTGGGATCTTATTCCTGCCTGTCTACATCACTTTTGTCATTTGTGTATGTGAAATGAGATCAGTCAGGGAGTGTGTCTAGGTAAGATCATAGTAATTCATAGCAGAAGGAAAAATTGCTTCCATTTGATCAAAATTCAGCCAGAACACCTAGAGAGCTTGGATTTCATCAGAGTCAGACATGGTGTGGAAAGATTGAAAATCCACTAAGTTGAAGGTCAGAAGCCTGGGCCCATTCTGTGCTGGCTGTAACTAATCATATCTTTAGGATAGGAAAGTCAAGTTTCTGTGCTTCAGTTTTCTGTAAAATTGCAGCTTTTTGGCCAACTCTGTATGGTCCCTTTTGTTTCTAAGTCTTCTTATCAGAGTTCCATGGTGCCAGTTGCTGGGTGGTCACTGAGCAGTATGTGGGGCTCTCCAAGTACCTTTCGGGCTTTTCCTCTCAGCACAGATTCTCAGACTGTGTATAGTAACAAGAGTCCCATATGCGTAGATGGCTCCTCGGGGCTCTACAGTGACCCGTCGCTTGGTGATGTAAAGGCTCAGGTTTGCATATTTTTTATCCCTTGTAATTCCGTGATACATACAAGCCTAGTTAAAGGAAGATAGTGGAGGGGTTCTCTTAATGGGAATCATGTCTGAAGACTCTCCCCACTGCCAGACACTCCTTTTCAAACTCTTCACCTTAATTAAAATTTTTTTCATGCATGTTTTTAGCATTCTGTTTATTTTTCCTCCACATGCAGAATTTTAAAGGATTTTGGAGCTAGAAAAGTCAAAGCTTTATATATA